CAATGTCCATGGGTTTAGTAAGGAATGTCTCTGTGAGGAGGAGGATGTCATGCGTTCCAAAGATATTGTCTGGGCTGAGTTTAATAAGGGACCGCAGTCCCTCCACATTCCATAGGATGGTGTTGAAGAAAACATGTCTTCTTTTATTGACATCTCTTCTATGTCCCCTCTTGTTTTTTCGTTTCCTCTTCTTCTTCTTGTTTTGACGTGTGGTCCAGTGATGTGGAGAATTAAGTTGCTCACTAGGCCTAGGCCTAAACGTATCCTGTCCCCTGGCAAGTTTTAGATCCAAAATTAAGGCTTGTGCAGGGTCTGGCAACGTGTGCCCTGCCGGTAAGGATCTAAGGAAGGCACTGTCACGTAAATGGGCTAAGGTGAGGCAGAGGAGAAGAAGAGTTTGTGTACACAACACAATATACACAATATAGATGCAAGAGCGAGCGAAGGAGGGTGCAGCCATCTTGGCGCGCCCTCGACTCATCCTGATTTTCATTATTCCAACTCATAATTTTCGAAATTTCGTGAATCAGTCCTTCGGCCACCCGGACAGGTGAAATTTTAATTTAACGTATTTAATAGTAATTTACTGCGGTCGTACAAATTTTGATTAGAATCGGAGCGGAGACATGCTCCCCGCCGCGTACTCCGCCGTCGCACCTGTCGGAAATCTCACGAAAGGAAAAAAAAAACAATGCGGTGGAGAAATCGTTTATTGCGAAATGCGGTTAGTTCCTTTTTCCACGGCACTCCCGCTTGGAAATGGACACACAAAAAAATAATTTTAAGGTATTCCGCCGTGCAATGGCTTTGTTTGATCGTCTCTCGGCAACTTTCTTCAGTTGTCAATCGCAATTTCTCGCCCTAAACGTTGAAATAATTTTTTTTTCGAGCTTTTCGAGCGATGTGTCGTCCCCTTTTTTATTTTTAAATTTTATCTAGCAGTATATATTGTAGTAACATACCATCACGTCATTGTTACTTCCGGCAAGCTTCCGGCAAAAGTCAACGCAATTCCGATTCCTGAATTTCCGATCCAGGAAAGGATTAAGTCGACGTAATTTTTTAACTTGAAAATATTTTTTCGATTGATAATTAATCATATTCATACATTTTGAAAATATGTTAAATTATATTTATTCACACCATCATTTCTAATCATCTTCAATCGAAAGCCCCTAATCAGTCTGATAATTAGCCAACTGATAATGACGATGCTGAATTTGCATACGAAGCATCATTCGTTTCTCCCCTCTTCCTAATTAATTAATTAATTCGATTGCTTAAAAAAATTATGAACTTCAAATGAAATGATGATAGTACGTTCCTAAATTTCTCTAAAGACAACTTGGAACTGGATTCACGGATGCCAATGAGACGCCAATTTCCACATGTTATTAAGATACCGTCCAGTTCAACTTTGCCTCATAAACTTTCCCGAAAGCTTGCCGTCGAATTTTACTCAGTAATCATCTAAGATTTATTTATAGAAAATAATTTAGCGAATTTAGGGCAATCTCCTTTAAGTGCGCGTCTCATCTCGCGATCAGTAATTTGTGCGACGCTCGTTGCGGTCGTCGATGCGACTCATTCCGCGTCACGAGGATTTTCCGTCTGTCACCCGCCGACTAGGTAACGCCCTCAATGGCTCAATGGCTCAATGGCTCATGAAGTTGGTCGTTTGATTTTTAACATCGATCCTGCAGCTCTCGCGACGTTTCTGTTCTGACGGAGGAGGCGTCGTAGAGGATGTTCGTCAGGGCCTCCGCCTCCAACAGTTTTTTCCTTATCCATTCGGACATTTTGTCCATTCCGTTCTTAACCGTGCAGAAACCCGTGGTTTCGACTTCGCAGAATGTCGTCGGTAAGGGCTGTGATGTACCTAAACAAGCTTTGGCATCATCTAAGTTCTCGATCCTGACTTGAAGACGGAAAAAGAAGGAAAAAGGAAATCATCGACGCTCTAAGCAGACGATCGCCAATGAATTCTTTCGATCCGGGTGAGTCCGTCTCTCCCTTTCAGTAATAAAAGGTTGAACTCTATTAAACTCTATTAAACTCTATTAAACTCTATTAAACTCTATTGAACTCTATTAAACTCTTGCCTTCGATCGCATTGGATCGCTTCGAACATATACGAACTCAGGTCGAATTAAAATTTATTTGGTAATATTTTTCTCTGTGAATCACATTTAACATTGTAAATAATAAAACATATTTATTTAAATCAATTACATTTAATCGAAATGGGAAAGGAAGAGCGAGCGGGCATCGCTACCCACGTCTCGCTATGAATTATTATTTAAAAAATAATTTTCAGAATAAACGTGGCCTCCCCTCTCGGTAATACAGCTGGGTTTCCGTTTTATCTAAACACCTGCAGACAATTCAGGCTCTAATACGCTCCCTGACGTTTCACGGACTCTTCCCCGAAAGATATTTCCCAGAACGGTCTTATTCCTGGAACGGTCTTATTCCTGGAACAGTCTTATTCCTGGAACAGTCTTATTCCTGGAACAGTCTTATTCCTGGAACAGTCTTATTCCTGGAACAGTCTTATTCCTGGAAGGTTTTTCCTCTGGTAGGAGACTTCCCCAAAGGACTCTCCCCTGACAGTCCTCGAAAGGAAAAAATCCTGCGGAAGGTTCCCCTTCGTTCCCGAACGGAGTGGTCTCAACCTGCATGAGATCTAAGCTTAGAAGAGTTTAGAATGCCCAGAATGCACAAACCTTATTTAACCTTTATCGGACCTTTATTTATATACGTCGTCCCGTAATATGTTTCTTCCCACGGCCGAATGGGACACATCGTACCACTAAAAGTCCTATAGTTTTGGCACGTTCTGTATTTCATTTCTTTTTTCTTTGGAACCAACTTTCGTCACAGGAACAGATCGGGGTTCATTTGTCATGTGATGTCATGCGATGTCATGTGATGTCATGTGATTTGTCACAAAATTGTTTTCTTTTAGTGTATGAACAACATGCTTTTTCAAGTGCGTCATTCTTGCACTTGTACTAGCACGTAACCTTGATTCAACGTTCGGCTGTAGAATCAACATTGGATGCACGAGGCAAGTTCTTGCTAGCAAGTCCTTGATTACAAGAAATTTCCTGTTGATAATAAAAATAATGGTGGTTCATTCACGATTCTGGAATAATCGTGCATCAGCAAATTGCATTCAATCGCCAGGCACGGTAACAAAGCTATGGGGATGTGTTCTGCGATCGCTTAATGGTACAGGATGATCATTTTAAGCGAGAACCCAATAAATCATTAATTTTTGGCAGGAAAGAACTGGGATTATGAAAATTCGTCGTAACGTACTTCATTGTCTGGAAGGACGTACCGAGTATCGGTGTATTACAAAAGGTGTTGAAATTGACCGCCGCCATTTTGGATCCCCAACTGTGCACGTCTGAGCATGCTGGAACACACCGGCGGTGATTTGTTGACTGGGATGTCAGCAACGAGTTACGAGATGTTTGTCGATTCATCCAAAGCGCGTGGATTATTGTTGTAGCCATCGTCTTTAACATAGCCGAATAGGAAGAAATCCATAGGCGACAAAGAGGGAAAGGTCGGCCAAGCTCGATGTGTCATTTGTTGCACCATCTTGCTGCAACCACGCCCTGACAATCTCATTTTCAGTCAGGTGTCACAAGAAATTAATGGATCATTAATGGAAATTAATTATTAATAAATCAATGTACCGTTGAGAGGTTATGGTACTTGTGATAAAGATGGGTCCCACAACCCTGCGCCTATTGCTCACCACAATCATTACGTCAAAGTTCGTTGCTTCCAATCTTCACGCTCCCGGTTCTTTCCCACCCAAAGTAATTAACGGTTTCAATGGAGTTCTCACTTAAAACGATGACCCTGCGGCACTTAAGCCCTTCCCTAATTAAGCGCAGGGCAGACGATCCTGCACAAGTTCGACGGCGAATACTGTTCGGACATGTAGAACTATCCCGTGAGATGCATTTTAGCAGGTATATAATACTTAAATCCAAGTAATGCAAAATTAACACTCGAGAAGAACACGCTCAAGTGCCCTGACCACGATTCGAATCATGGTTTTTTGAGCCACATTAACTGAACCCGAAAACTGAACCGTTTCCAAACCGCGTGCCGTGCGGAGTGCTAACCAAGTTTCCAGCGAATGGATTCGCTGATCCAAGGAGGATCCTTCTCGTGGATTATGGATTAACAGGATCGATCGAGTAACTATAATCCACTTTATGACATGAAAAAATGCCAACATTTGTCCAAATGTTGCCACAGTCGGTCTGAATTCATTCCGGTATCAAGGCCTCGAAGATCCTCACCCCCTCGCCGAGGGCGCATTCCAAGACGGTTTCGCGGAAGTCGTCGCCCCATTCGCCGTTTTCGCCGAACCGCCAGAGGCCTGGGTAGACGAGGGCATTGCCGTTTTCGTCGACGGTCGCCGAGAATGTCTCGTAGACCAGGCCGCCGATGGGGTCACTGTGCACGGCAAATGCCGATAGGAAAATTCTCGCCTCTGGAGCTGAAAGCGAAAATCGGGGCATACTGTACGAACGCTTACACAGAGAGACTTTTCGTTGACACATGAAGACAGGAGCGTGGGGACATTTTCAGATCCCGAGTCTCCCCACAATACCACACAATACCCCACAATACATGCTCATGTGCCGTCTACAAGAAAGAGTTACTTGTTGATAATTTCCCAAAGTTACATGGTGTTGCGACTCGTTCAGCCTTACCGTTTGTGTTTCCAGCCTGCACTGTCTTGAGAAAACGTAATTTTAAAGGCTTTTCATGCCGATCAAACTAATTTTAAAACTTCCATCGATGTCTATTTTCTGGAATCCCTAACACAGAACTCCCCACATCGGCACGAGGACTCACTCCCGGGACCGAGAACGACGAGGTCTCGTAAGTACGCCCCCACCGTGACCCCGGAAAGGTCAACTTGCCCCGTCGGGTCCACGCATTCGCTCAAATCCATTTCCGCCAACAGTTTCGCCCCGCTCAGTTGCGCCGCCAACACCGACGCGAAATCCGTCAGCTCCGCCCTGCAGAAACGAAACGGGGACGACATCGCATCGTCCACCGATGAAGTGACTTTCCAAGACTCACTGATGACTTTCCAAGACTCACCGATCGTAGTCAGGAGCCGAAAACTTGGCAGCATCGCCCAAGGTGCAATTGAACGCAGACANTAGAGACAAGAAGCTTCGGATCTCTCGCAGCACACTAATAGCATCGATCAGATAATAAAAAACCTGTTGAAGGTTCATCGGATAAAAGAAATGCTTTGAAAGTGGGCGCGGAAGAGAAAGAGGAACGGGGAGACATCATGGGACGTCTATTAAAAAGGTTCGCCCTAGCTTAATTTTGAGGAGGGGGAGGGCTCCCCCCCCCCCCCTCCCTTGAAGAAAAAGGGGGGGAGGGGGGTTGGCTCTCCAAATGGCGAGGAGAAGCTATCAGGCTGTTCGTTTCCTTGCGTCCGGCAGGGAAATCGGCAAGAAAAGACTTTGGGAATGAAACCTTTGATTTTCGGGATGTCTGAATTGCAGGAATCCGCAAGTTAGAGTTTCCCTAAGGTCTCAATCTGGAAAGTTCCATATCATCATCATATTTTCATCGCGACGAAACTCCTCGGAAATGCCATTCCAAATTTGCCAAATTTGAAAAAAAGCAACAGATTTTCACGCTTGATTTCACACGTGGAACCCTCAGGCATCTAATTCCAATTCCTCGTCGCACTTTCCAATCCACGCTCATCTCTTCCGAGCGTGGTAAAAAAAAAACGTTTTCCCAGCGCAAACTCACCAATAAAAGCGACAAAGCCCCTTCGCACAAATCGCCATGGACGTCGAGCCGGACTTCCTTCCCATCCATGAAGGCGGCATCCACTTGATCGTGCGTCTCGAACGCCTCGATCGCATCGCCTAAGAAAAGGACGGAAGCCAGATAATCCACGAAATCCACGCCAAAATCACTTAATCCCATTCAGAACGGTTCCGAACGCTCTTAAATCCAATTATAACGGTACGTTATCGCGCACCCCGTGAATTCGTCCTTGAATATTCAAGCACGTTTCCTTTGGATGACAATCATCGGGTAATCAAAACCGGAAGATTCGTAAACCTTTCTGCTTTGACGCGAGGCGTTCTCGTGATCATTTGCTATAACCCTTTCAAATTTCTCACGTTCGAAATGAGCATGTTCATGCCGCAGTGAAGACCTCATCAGATCACACGCGATTTTTCTTTAATTTCATGGAGCATTATTCGCAAACGTCGAGCTGCGATAACCGCGTCCAAGTTTCCTCAGCCTATTGAGGCACTCTTGTGTTTTCCTCTCGAGAGATTGTAATACTGTATATTGCCCTGAAGTCCAATTTCATGCTGCCGCTGCGACGACTCGTACTGGCGGAATTTTCCGGTCCAGAGCCCCATGACCAAACGAGTACGGAAACGCTCTCCGATCGTCATTTTTCTGTCAAACTGATAATCGCCTCACCCGACGCATAGAAGAACTTGACCGAATCCCCAAGGACGCACTGGAATCCCCAGGGATGAGGAAATTCGTCCTCCCCCGTCAGAGCGTTGAACGCATTGGCGAACACGCCCGCGGATCCGTCCGGCCGGATGACCGCCCTGGTCGCCGCGATCACCGTCTGACCCTCGACCTCGCTGAGCGACAGGCCCGGCCATTCCACGGCGAGCCCCGTTCCGTCTGCAACGCGAGAATGCGTCCCGAAAAATGAACCTTCAGCTCCAGCTCCTCCAACCAACTTGGACGAGACACTTCCTCATCGATGAATCAATTTATCTGGCACTCCCGACATACGAACACTGACAATGTGGTCGGTTTCTCACTTTAAATTTTAAATTCCGTCAGTCTTCAGTAACCATAGCAACCGGACAACACGACCCAATGCGCACGCGCAGCTTTCCGCCTTGGTCGGGGTGCCCGTCTTCCACGAAAACAGTCACTTCCCCTACAGCCCTGGCGGCTGACGGATCCATAGTGGACGATGGAGGAGAGTTGCTGCTCCCGGCCGCGTAGACAGGGTTGCTAGGCGTACGCGTGAAATGCCGTGTCTGGCATCCTATACTTCATATTGTCCTACCATCTCCACGCGACGCAGACGCGCAAACCATCGAGAATATGACTTGTTGTCCAGGTCTTTTCAAGTAGGCCTACGCTGAACTAATGACAGCTATTATTTTTTTCAAGGTTGGATGGTTAAAATGCGGTGAATGTATGTAACTAGAGAGTACCAGCCCAGGTACAGATCAGCCATTCCACTGGTTCCTATACCATTGGAATCATCACATTCCTCAAGTAAAGAACCCTGCAATACCCACCTGGAACGACGTAGTACTGGTAGTAAGTGGATCCGCCCTCGGCGACGATGACCTCCGGCGGCAGGGGATGCACGCAGTCGGTCGCGATCGCCGCGATCGTCATCTGGCGACCCTCCACCAGAGCCAGCAGCAGGTCGTCATACGATGCTATTAGTGTGCTGCGAGAGATCCGAAGCTTCTTGTCTCTAGGGCTCGTTGGATACAAAAATTAAAAATACGCGAAGTCTGGAAGGTTCCGATTTCTTTTAATGAATTAGGTTCGTACCCCATAACAATTCAAGCTTTTTAATATTAACTCGGGGAACACGTTGAAATGAAACTACTTCGTGAGGTGGTTTGTAATTTCTTCATATGTTTTGTGCATTGAGGCTCTTGGATTTATTATAGACGAGCAATTCGATCCCTTCTTCAGGGAAAAATATTTCCAGTTTCCACTGCAGCCTCACTCCCGTATTAAATACTCGAAAGCGGAAGTGAATCTTTCGAGATGCTCAACTTTATTACAGCAATGCGAGGAGGAAATGGGGTGAAACAATTAAAAATAACAATAATTATCCTTCTGGAGAACCAATCAACGTGCGACAGGCTTTTTTCATGTGTGCTTAAGAGAGCACTTTCCAATCTTCTGGCCATGATTTCGACCAACTTCCAGAAAAAAACCTAGCTGAATTTTTGGCCCACCCGGTAATTTACCTCTACAACTAGTACTCAGCCTCCTCAACCTGGATATCTGGATAAACATACTCCGGCTGGTGGATGCCCTTCTGGACGAAGGTGGCTCCGGTCCCGAGCCGGCAGAGCGCTCCGTAACTCCCCACGACGAGGCCCGTGTCCGCCGCCACTCGAAACGCATCGAATCCGGCGAACCCATCGGCATCCACGAACGAGAATACGAGGACGAACTCCCCGTCGGCTGAAGGATCAAAGACTCACTGCATCGCTTATACGGGGTTGGCCAAGAAACAAAGCTGTCATTTTGGATGAGCCGTCAATCTCATTGTTAGATGCCGATTCCGATTAAAATTGTCGGGCTCATAGGGTGACACAATTGGAGTTTTTAGGTCGAATTTCAGCCTTCCGGCTTTAAAATTACAGGAGCTGTAATTATTTTCCGATGACCCACGACAAAAGTTGCTGTCGAAAATAACGATATGAACTTGATGCCTGGATGAAGGGGAATTCGCGACCTTCCATCCCTTTCTCTCCCCGTCCCATTCATTGGGAAGCATTGCATCAACATGATGCATTGCCTCTGCATCATGTAGATGCATTGCCTCCCAATCTTCCCCTCCAGCCTCAGAGATTTATCGACCGAGCCATTGATCTGTGGAGTCCCAGATTAGAGGCTTGTGTTTAACGGAATGTATTGCACATTGAGCACCTTTTCAGTTGAAATGAACCAACCTAAACCAAATTGCCCGCTTTCGTTTTTTATATTTTATTGTTTTATTAAATTCTGTCTGGCGGCTTGTTTGTTTTCGTCAGTTGTGAGAAATTTTACGTTGAAAGAAAAAAATGATCACTTACATTTTTGGTGATGAAAAACAAATTAAATGTCAATCTCACAGTTTTTTTTTATTTTTATTTGAAACTCTGCACTCAAGTCCCACTCTGTGCCTTCCAAAATCCATCAGAATCGACGACCCACCAAATTCGACACCCATTTTTTTTATTCTGGCCAACCCTATTCAAAACCCTCATCGAGAGAAGATCATCCTACTGTTCATGAAGCTTTGGGTTGCGCTGACGACCGGAGTTTGCTGGTCGATTTCCGTGTGTTGCCACAGACCGAAATGGATTGACGCCAACTGTCGAACACATTCCATGTCAGAATCGATTAGTCTTCGATGCATCGCATCAATGCATCACTTCAATGCATCACAGGTATCAATAACGAGTGTTCCATCCATTTTCCCCCGAAGGAGGGTTTGTATTAATAATATCAACTTGGAATATCATTTTCTCTGCATATGAAAGATAATAAAGTCTTTCATTTAGAAATTTCCCACTTTCAAAATGAAGAAAAAAGGAAAAGTCCAGGCATGTTATAGAGACGCTTCTAAAAATGTTATATATATATACAGGGTTGTGCAAAAGTTCCTGTACACTTTGAAAATATAATTTTTATCACTAATCAACGGATTTTTGGCGACTCTGATGTGTTTTTTTAAATTCTACGGAGTTTTTTTATACGAAATGTTTTTATTATAAATTATTTTCTGTAGAGCCATGAAGCCTAAAAATAATCGAGGCGCTATCATCGCGCTGCACAAGCAAGGGATGAAGGCTGGAGCGATCGCCAAGATGACCGGATTTGCGCGTCAAACAGTCTACGATGCAATCAAGCGCTTTCGCGAGCTCGGCACGCATGAAGACAGACCGAGAAGCGGCCGCCCGTCTACCGCTGTCACGCCAGCCAACGTTAACAAGGTACGGTGCAGGATTCGACGCAATTCGAAGCAATCGATGAACAAGATGGCGAAAGAGATCGGAATCAGCCGCTGGAGCGTTCAACGAATCGTGGAAAAGAAGCTGAAGATGCGCTCATACAAGCTGGGTCGCGGTCACTTCCTCACAGAGACCATGGCGGCGAAACGACTAGAGAAGGCGCGACGCATGCTTCGCCTGGTCGGTGGTGGTCGCCTTCAAAGGATTCTCTTCACCGATGAGAAGATTTTTACTGTCGAGCCCCCTCACAACCGCCAGAATGACCGCCAGCTGCTCAAGAAAGGTCAGAAAAAGTCAGCTGCTGCGAAGATCGTCACTCGAGGGCACTTCCCGTCGTCCGTGATGGTTTGGGCCGGCATCTGCGCGACGGGGAAGACACCGCTGGTGTTCATCGACCGGAACGTGAAGATCAACGCCATCATGTACCAGCAGGTGGTTCTTCGAGACGCTCTTCAGCCGTGGGCGCAGCGCCACTTCGGAAACGACGCCTGGACGCTGCAACAGGACTGGGCTCCAGCGCATTCCGCGAGGTCGACGGTCGAGCTGTGCGAGGAGCTGTTTCCGGGCGCGTGGGGCAAGGACGTGTGGCCGCCGAATTCGCCAGATCTGAACCCCATGGATTATTCGGTCTGGTCGATCCTGGAGCAAAAGATCTCAGGAATCCGTTTTCGCAACACCGAGGCGCTGAAGGTGGCTTTGCGACGCGCTTGGAATTAAATCAGCGTCGAACAGCTGGCGACCATCATTCGCAACTTTCCAAAGCGACTCCGAGCGTGCATCAAGGAGAACGGCGCCAATTTTGAGCACCTGCTTTGAATTTATTGATTCATTTACCTTTCTCTGATTATTGAAAAGTTAAAGTTTTGATAAAACCTTAACCTCGGTTTGTTAGATAAATAATTATGTACATAGAACACCATGAAAAAAGTGTACGGGAACTTTTGCACAACCCTGTATATCCACAAAAATAAAAAAATGGCTTCTTCGGACTAATAAATGGAAAATCCGCCCTTCATCATAGACACCCTGCACAAAACTCACGATCGGCTCGGGAGCGTTGGATTCCTCGCACAAGCCGCTGTCGAAATTGCCGTTGACGCGATGGCCAGCCCGAAGCGCAGCGACCACGTCGTCGAACGTCAGGTCCCCAGGACGCCTTTAAGCGCTTAGCCAGCGGTGCCAACGTACTGGAGTCAACATTAGCCGTAGCGTACGTTAACGTATAAAGGACCTAACGATGCTACGGCTCCGTGATACGCTTGCCATAGTGCCATTGTGGTAAATCGATTGATAAATTATTTGCTTAAATAAAAATATTTTTGCCTATCGTGGAGGATCGTGGAAAATAAAGAACGGAACGGTATAATAATACCGGTATAATAATACCGGTATAATAATACCGGTATAATAATACCGGTATAATAATACCGGTATAATAATACCGGTATAATAATACCGGTATAATAATACCGATATAATAATACACGGAAGGCTCGACATACGGCCACTCTCGCTCATCTCCGATTCCTTCCCGCGAACGAATCTTCCCCATAGGTCTAACATTGGCGCTCCTCCGTCATAGCGCCAACCCGGCCACCGGCGCCGGCCGCAATCACAGATGATGTCGGAATGGGTTTCCAGGCGGCTGTTTCATGGAATTTACTAGTTCTAGTTGCAAGTTACAACAAGTAACTAAGTTACTAGTATGTTTAGTTCATGTTCTGTTCAATGTTCCCAGCGCAGCATCAACACGCTGCCCGGCCGCCCTAGTCAACCTTCTCAGTTTACTCTTATGTGCTGAGGAAGTTCGTGTACATTGAACATTGAACATTCTTGTAACGTGTAATGTGTAATGTGTAATGTGTAATGTGTAATGTGTAATGTGCAACTTGTAACTTGTAGCTTGTAATGCGTAATGTGAAACTTGTAACTTGTAATTTGTAACTTGTAGCTTGTAACGTGTAATGTGTAATGGGCAACTTGTAACTTGTAATTTGTAACGTGTAACTTGTAATTTCCACGAAACGGGGCCCAGGCGTTAGAGGGGGTGTATAGGGTCCAGCATGATACTGCCTTTTCCTTTTTGAGAATGGAAATATCTCGCGCGGATGATGCGTCGCTTCCTCGGACGATATTTCAAGTTGGTTCCAGTGATGAGGAAACTGACGGTTTCGTTAAAAAGAGGCAAATGTGGTCGAAATTCAGCAAAGCTTTGCAAATAATTTTTTTCTTTAGCTCTGGGGTAAAAGTTAGCAGAAAGTGCATAGGAGCACCTCTCATTGAAAATAAATAATTGGATTTCATCATGGATGGAAATATTTGCCAAAACCGCGTAGTTTGCGTTTTCTGAGTCGCGGACCATCAGCAAGATGAATGAAAGTGATTTGTGAGCATATTTCATATATTTTACATTTCCTTCATTTTGAAGCCAAGAGTTTTGATTTGGTGCCACCAATATATCGCCGAAATCGAAATCGACAGCGGCGGCATATCGACCGTTGACCGTACGAATTGTTTATTCCACTTGGTTTCATGCATAAGCTCCTCCATCGTGGTCCACCGGCAGCAACATTTTAAATAATCGAATCGGTGAGATTAAACACGGCACGGCTCCAATTCACATCCTCCGGCAGCCGGATTGCAAGAAAAACGGAATTTCAATTTCCGGATATTTTAAACCCTCCAATTCCTTCGCCGCGCGTTTTATGGATTTTCTGACCTTGGGCGAGGATGGCTGGGAGGAAGGCGGCGAGGCAGAGGAGGTGTCGGAGCATGGCGAGGCAGAGGAGGTGCCGGAGCACGGCGACCCGCCACACCAGTGCAACCCGGATCG